TTCAGGTCTGTGTTTCAGCAGTTATGGGTTGCTCACGTAGGCCCTGCCGTGATTCTCAGGGCTTGGCTGCACTACTCACCACATGTGCAAAACTAGAATGAATCTTCTGGAGGCTCCAGGAGGGAAAAGAAGGGGAGCCAGAGAAGCAACATGAGCAGGAGGAGGAGGGGAGGAGGAGGAGTTACAAGATGATTATTGGTTACCAGGGAAAGGCACAGGTCGAGGGTGCCAATGGCGATGGTTTCCTGGATGGAGAGATGGAGGACTACAGAACAACGGGGATTCTAGCCACGGACTGCAAATTTGCAATTTTCCAGGGCCCGGAAGGACCCCTGTCCCTCTCATAGGAAACCTCAATGGTGTCTCTGGTCCTCGAAACCACTGCATTGCCCGGGGGTGACACACATGGGCTATGGTGAAAACGGTGCCCATGAAGAAATGTCGATTAGAGCTAAGAAACCAGCCCGGGCATCCGAAGGCTCGAGCACCTGCAGTTCTATTTGCAGGGACGTCACCGTACGCATTGTGGTCGTCATCGTCCTGATTATCTCTCCTTGTCAGTGTGTCTATGTCTTCGTCTAGCTGTCTGAGAAGACGAACTCCATCGTTAGACTTCGGCCAGGCCAATCTAACTTCACCAAATTCATTAGGGTTGGTGTCATATGGTATCCACGCTTATTCCGCCTCGGGTTGACTGAAGTCTGAAGATTGCAGTGACCTCATGTTCACTACAGGGGAAGTTCCACAATGTAGTATTTGCCTTTCAGGCCCCTTCTCTTCTGTTGATGGCTTCAAAGCCTTCAGTGATTAGTTTGGGGCCTTTGGGCCCTTATAGGTTGTCGGGGCATAAGTCACAGTGTAGTATTTGCCTTTCTCTTTTTCTGCTGGCTTCAATGTTGGTTAAGGCCCTTAAGGGTTGTCTTGAGTGGGTACCGTTTTGCGTATGGAGGTGGTATCTTCTTGTTTCAGTCAGCCTTGTAGGACATCTCTTTGCCCCTTCGGGTCTTTCCTTATGCTCCTACTTAGCTTATCATAGGCTTACAGTGCTATGCTTCCTGTTTGACAGCCTCAGGTAGGTGCACAGGCCCTTTGTTTGTGCTACTACTTAGCTTATCATAGGCTTAGTACATTGCGGTCTGAGGTTACGAGCTTATCATAGGCTAACATTGTGGTCTGAGGTTGCGAGCTCTAAACTCCGCAGCCTTGCACACGTATGCCAGCAGTGTTCTCATACGCAGCCATTTGGAGACCCGGGTCACACCCCCTTTGGGTTGACACATGGGGCGAGGTCCCACTAGCAAAGAGGATTCGCTTGAAATGCCTGAAGCTGGACATGTATGAGGACAGATGCAGAAAACCGTGACTGATCTGCTTTTCTGCATCTCCACCAAGGACCTATCCAAATTCAGGCTCTTAAACCACCAGTACTTGGCCCAGCTATGGGCCTGAAAAGAATAGAGTAGAAACGTTTCTAGTTGGATGAATTTGGGCGCTCCTTTAGTGGCCCGTTCGTTTCCTAAAATCTCATAGCGTTAACGGGCACGACTTTAGGAAGTACTGGTGGTTTAATTTTATCCTCTTTGCTAGCGGGACCCTGCCCATGGTAAGGACTACAGACACTGCCTGTGCACCAGCCAAGGGGTTAGTCCCCAACTCCCCGGTTGTTGTATGCTGGGATGTGGGTTACGCGAGGGTTGCCTGATGTTCTTGGTTCCTGGGTTTGTCCTATGATTGCACTTGTACCCTGGTCTAATACAGCGCACAAAAAAAACAGACTAGTTGTTAGTGTAGCTTATAATTCCTATTCCCGATTCTACGTCATAATTTTGGCTCTTATTCTTGAATTTGAAACAACGTGCATCTGAGTCTATGCTGGTTGCAGTGGGTTGTTTAGGTGGTGTTGGTCGGAGATAACGCGCTCTGTGGCAAAGGAGCTAGCCTGTAGGGCGGGAATAAGGTATAGCAGCGGTGGAGATGGTGGCTCGACCGCAGTAAGTCTTGCTGGATTAGGGGCGAGAATGAATTTAGTTGGCTGATTGCAACCAGTGCTTGAAGGAGCTGGATGACGAGAACCACAGCTATGGTGAGGATTGGTGGCTTGTCTGTTATCCGCTGACGTCTGTTGGCCCCAGTGGTCTGCGAATGGACGAGGCCAGAACGACGCTGGTTGGTGCCGGGGATTGGTCGCCCTGCCCTGTAACTCGAGTTGTACGGGGGCATGAGACCTGGTAGAGAGATCTGGGGAGTCGTCGAGGGTGGAAGGCGCTTAAGTGTCTGTTGGTGGGCTGGTACTTAGTCAACGCTGGCCGGAGCCGGGGCGGGTCACTCTGCCCTGTAGCCTAGCAGGTGGGAGGTTTCTGGGGTGGGTCCCGCCACCCTATAACCTAGCAGTAGGGGGTATGAGGCCTGGTAAAGATTGAGTATCGGGGTTTAGGCCGGAGGCGGATAAGGTTGGGCTGCTGAAATGCTGTGCGGTAGGTGGTTCTTGTTTTGAAAGACTCGGAGAATCTCAGTTGGTTCTTCGTTTTTCCACAAATAATTGGCTGTGCGGTGGTCTTAAGAATTTTTTAGGACTCTGGACTCCTACTAGCAACTCTTCTTAGGTGGTTTCGATGCTGTTATACTCAGTGATCTGCGGTTGTTCGACGCTAGAATGACGCTGGCCAGTGCTGGGGTGTTGCCCTGTAACCTGCTGATGCAGGAGTGTGAGGCCTGGTAGAGAGATCTGGGAATGCTTTGGGGTGGGCACTCCATGGGATAACCAAGGGTAACCATCTAAATATTAGTCTTCAGATTACAATATTTGTAAAATTTTTGACCTACTTTCTGTCTGAAATTCCCACAGAACAATTATAGTCGGGTGTTCTAATTCGTAAATTTTTTATACTTGCTCGAAGGAAATTCATAAGTATACTTTGATGTTGATTTAAAAAAAACATATCGAAAGTCTTATTTGAACATGATCCTATTCGTAAATGTAATAATAGTTCATATAGGTTTTCTAAATTTTGTCATAGATCGATTTTCTAAATTGTCATGATTCTATTTTCTAATTTGTCATGATTCAATTTTCTAATTTGTCAATGATTTGTGATGAATTCTGCCTAATCTAATGATCTTGGTTCCTTTAATGATTTTGTTCTTAACTTTCAAACTTTGACGTTATTTTCCATGTTCCAATCGTGTTTTATGATAAGGCTTCTCTCATTGGAGACTGTTAGCAAATCTTCTTAGGTGTGCCTGTTCTTGTCATAATTGTGGATCTGCGGTTTTTCGATGCCAGAACGATGTCGGTCAGTGTTGGGGTGTTGCCCTCTAACCTGCGAAGCAAGAGCATGAGGCCTGGTAGAGAGATCTGAAGATGCTTAGGGGCGGGCATCTCACAAAATAATCAAGGGTTGCTACTTGGAGGATGTCGGTTGGAGCTAGGGTGAGTTGTGTTGCCCTGTAACTTAGCGGTGGGGATGTGAGGCTGAACAAACTGAGGCCGGGAGTATGATTGCATTGGCGAGCCTGAGTAGCGTTGTTATAGTCTCGTTGACTTTTCTACAACTTGTCAACGAGGTATTTTTTAGCCAAAAGACATACGATTAAGGGAAGTAGATATATTCGCACGGGCGGGTGAGAAGTTTGTAGGGGGGTGTAACAAGGGAAGAGCCTTTAGTCTTCGCCAGTAGGTCAGAAGGACGTGGTTGGGACGACGCAGGCCAGCGCTGGAGCGCTGCTTTGTAACTTGGGGGAGCGTGAGGCTTGGGAAGTTCTATTGAGGGAGGAAGGCAGAACCACCACGTTCGACGCAGCCGTTGCTGGGGTTTTATCCCTGACACAAAGGGGTGTGCGGCTAATGGGAGTTGTCGAGGGAGGAAGACACTCCTCGCCGTCTATAGCAGGCTGGTCGGTAACGGGGCATGGTGGTGCCCTGTAACCCTAGCATAGAGGGTTATGAAACCAGCCGCATTTTGGTTCGGGGATTGATCACGGGGACTTTGTTTTTTTCCAATTGTTGCGTGGGGAAGTTTGCTAGTCGGTAGTTTCGGTTCGGATTTTTTGCTTTTAATTTGTCATATGTCACTCGTGTCTTATCTCGTTAAAAAAAAAAAACAACGGGCGATGCGTTCAGATATGGCTATCCTCTAGAGGAGGTGATTGTTCTCGGTGGTTGTCGTAGAACGCTTTTAGGCTCTTGGGACTCCTTGCATTTTCCTTGAGGCAATTTTTATGTTGTTTTATTCATGGACCTGCGGTTGTTCGATGCGAGAACGGCGCTGGTCAGTGTTGGGGGGTTGACTCGCTAACTAGTTGACAGCAGGAGCTTGAGGCGTGGTAGAGAGATCTGGGAATGTCTAGGGGGGGCATTTCACGGAACAATCAAGGGTTCCTATCGAAGATGATGCTTGTCGGAGCCGGGGTGAGTTGCCTTGCCCTGTAACCTATAGGGGGGGTGAGAGGCTTGGTAGAGCTTGGTAGGGAATAAGACAGTGTCTGAGGACTTCGAGGGTGTAAGGACCCTGTGGCGCTTTAGAGTGTTTGAAGACAATAGCTGGGATTTTCGCTGGTGGATAGTCTCCCAAATTTACCTCAAATAGCATTAACTTTTGTTAAAAAAAGGAGAGAATTTTAAGGATTCTGGGGACTTCTAGCAACTCGCTTTAGGCTGTTTGATACTAATACATTCATGGATTTGCGGTTGTTCGATGCCAGAATGACGTTGGTCACTGCTGGGGTGTTGCCCTGTAACCTGCTGATTGCAGGAGCGTGAGGCCCGGTAGAGAGATCTAGGGATGCTTTGGGGTGGGCATTCCAAGGGATAACAAAGGGTACCTGTTGGGACGATGCTGGACGGAGCAGGGGCGAGTCGTGTTGCTCTGTAACCAAGCCAGGTGGGGAGGTGAGACCTGGGAGAGTTCGACAGGGAATAAGACAATGTTGGATAATTTTATAGAGTTTTGTTTGGGAGTCTAGGGGCTCTGAGCATTCGAAAAGAGGTGAGTAGTCATTCATAGTTTTTTAACCTCTCCTTAAATTCTCGTGAATTTCTTGAATAGTTCTCATATTGATTCGCAGCCGAAACCGAGTAATGGCCCCGACATCTCAAATGACTTATGCAACTCTATATGGGACGCTGGGCCCGGTTCCCAGCACGTGCTGCTCCCCACATATAGACTGGAGCATTTGTCAAAAAAAAAAAACCTCAAACTCCTTAAGTGGAGCATGGCCCCGAAAAAACTTTTAACTGAGGTAGCAAAAGTCTTTTGCCGCTAGAAAAAATAGAAAGTTAATATGTGATGCGCATATTGTGTGTTGTCACAATGATGTCTTTTCCCTTGAAGTTCCTTGTTCTTAAACCACCAGCACTTCCCAAAGTCGTGCCCGTTAACAAGCCATGATTTTAGGAAACGTACGGGCCAATATAGGAGAGTCCAAATTCATCCAACTAGGAATATTTCTACTCTATTTTCCACTTTATTTCTTTCCACGGTCGATAGTTGGGTCAAGTATTGGTGGTTTTAAAGTAAAATCATTATTTTGGATTCCAAAGAATAAATGACAATATTTCACTTGTAAACTGTAACATGGTGTATTTCATGAAGTGAGTTGTACACAAACAACCTATTCAGCATTAGAGACACAAAAACCATCTGGTCATAATGCATGTGTGCAGATGTCCAAATGCATCCTTTACACATCAATGTGCAAAGCTCAAATGCTTTCTTTACCGGGCAAGTTTTGTCCTTTTCAGATTAAAATGAGTTAATATTCATCCTTCACTATTTTGTTGAAGAAATTAGATGGGCCGGTTTTTGCCCTTGTAAACAAAATTGGGCTAAATAGTAAATAAGTAAGATTCATAAAAACCTAAAAACAAAAAAATGTTAAGTTTGCACGAAATCTAATGAAGATTCTTGTTGTACATTTTTCAGACCTCCTGAAGAACTAAAATTCTACGTGAAGTAAAACAAACGCAGAAAATAAATAGAAAAATAATTTTTCAGAACCACTCGAAGTGGCGAGAAGAAAAGTAGGTTTTTCCACAGAAAATCACCACCAGGTGAACATCGTGCGGTAAGGAACCGAAATATATAGGTTTTTTGTTATCTCAATAATCATGTTTATGGCCCTATAAGATGTCTTTTACGGCGAACGAATTCGGGGGTTTCGCAAACATGCAAACATGCAAATATGTTCGCGAATAGGTTCGGCTGAACAATGTTGTCCTATACATGGGTGAAGATATAATTTTGGGGAAACTACGAGGTAGTCACAAAAATGAGTTATAATTGTACCATGGGCCAATATACAATTTCAAACTGCAGTTCGGGCAATGTATGCAACCCGACTTTCGGGCCAGATAGGGTGCCTGAAGTGCAATTGCAAACTTTATATTGCTCCATAGTGCAATTATAACTTTTTTTTTTGACTCTACTGAAGTTACCCCTATTATTTATTTATATTTGTTTTTAATTCCCCCCCCCCCCCCCCCTTTTTTTTTTTTTTTTTCTCACGTTTGGCTAAGAATTTGAAGGTTACTCCTTGACAAAAATTGTTTGTATTTGTATTTTACATAACATATATTTTTTTAACAAGAGATTCACTGTTAACTTCAAATTTAATTTATAATTCTATAAAATAGTTTTTTCAAGCTGGGTTTTACCTAACAGTTGACCAGTACACCACGCCTATAGGCCCGCGGGTGTCAGCATAGACCTGCACCACTTCAGAGGCCACCAATTTTTTTTTTTAACGGCTCCCCTTGCCGCATGGTGCCTTTGAGTTTTGCTTGTGAGGACAAAAACTTTCTACAAGGCAGGGGCCGTGTACTTGCGGTTTTAAGTCCTATAAATGAGTATTTACTAAAACCGTTTTTTTTTTTACATCTTTCGATTCCACCTTGCAATCGGTAAAGATCGTCTTATTTGAGCTCCACTTTTTGCCAATCTGATGATAACGACTTATAGTCCTATAACAGGATCTTTGATGGAAAGGTTTTTTTTTGCACATTTTGAGTATTACTTGACTTTTTGCCTGTTTTTTTGCCT